GGTTTTTACTTGGAACAAGGGTCAGATTTGTTAACACTTTCTTTCTTTATTGGGACAATGCATGCAAGCGGAGGGGCAAGAGTGGCTAGAATAGATTCTGCAACCTTCTCCGCTTGTTGGATAAAAATGTCAAGCCTCCGCATACATGCATCTCCCCTCCACCCTCCCGTGAAATGTCGATTTTCGAGATTAAAAAAAAAACAATAATTGCATTTTTTATTTCAATAACGCATGAGTAAATAGCGATATGAACGCAGATTTAATATAGGCCCATAGAATTACGGGGACCGGCAAGGATTTGGAAAGTCTGAATGCAAGTCCTGCTTACACCTAACAAGTGCTGAAGTGGGACATAACCAGAGGTAGAAAGGTCTCGGATGCACTTGGGAAGAGGCTTCCCAAGACCTATCCAGTTCTGAACGGAGAGATCTAAGTAGAATTTGTCAGGTCCAATTATTCGACTCGGGGACATAAACCCGAAACGGAAATGCCTGAACGAAATGTCTCCAAATTTTTTAATTACGAATAGATTCGCGTAAAGTTCTTCCAAGAAATTTCACCGAGGCACTAAAAATTCCACCCAAACCCCAATTCACCGCCGACGAAAAACACACGTCGAAGTAAAAGGGGGAGGGGATGGGAAACGAAACACGGGGGCCATAAAAATTTCTTCCGGCGTCGAATTACCAAACTAGGTTTACCGGTGCAACTTCGCTTCCACTTCTCCCGGAGCCAATCACTGTTTTACATTTCAACCTCTCCGTGTATTTTTTTTATTTGTATTTTCTGTCACTGGGGAGCTAGAGCGTCGTAAAACCCTCGGCGAATTTTCGGCACCGCCTTTGTGGCATTTTAATGGCAATAAAAGCTGTCATTATGAACGTTGACTCATTACAAACGACAATAATAATCCGTCTTTAATGAATCGTTAACGCATCAAGTTGGTTTAATATTTTTCAAATTGTAAATTATGAATGCGACAGGCGATTATTATGCCTTATCGTTTTGCATATTGAGAAGGTGGAGGGATTTATGGGGGGAGAATGGCTGGGTCGACGCAACTATGTATTCGTAGGTTACGTTTTAATTGTAGTCTCCCTTGATGACTCATTTAACGGGAGACTATTATGAGTTTTAAAAGTCGCGGGTTATTGGAGTGAGACTTTTCGTACGTTGAAGATCGATTATATAGATCTGAAAACGAATAATTAGTGCAAAACAAATTTTTTTCATTGTTCGTTTGCCCGAAAACGCTTAAAATGTCAAAAATCGTCCAGGGTCTCCAATTTTTGAGCTACAAAAAATTTTTTTTTTCAAAATTTTCGGAAAAATATATGGAATAACAATTACGAGCTTTTTTTTTTAATTCGCCTCTTACATGGCTAAATTTGCGTTTTTGTATTTTTTTACACAAATAGTGAATTTTTTTATATGAAAAAAACCGAAATCAGCTGTGTAGGAGTCGAATTTCAAAAAACTGGCTCGTAATTGTTGTTCCACAGATTTTCAGTCCAGTCCACCTGGACCTCCGCACCCCATGAAAATATCGTTCAATGAATCAACAGGTGGATCCCACACGATGAGATATTTTCTCCAATTCCCAGAGGGGGATGTCTCGAAGAAACGCGGAATGCCACGCACTGGGCAATGTGTCCTGGGATATTCCTGGCTTTCAACCTGTTCAAACGTGTGTACCTGCGAAATACCACGCGATTTCACGTTTCGAGAGGTGGAACAGGGATGAAAGGAGAGAGGATTAAAGAGGGAGAGGAGGAATGTAATGGTGAAAGAGGGCCGAAGGGAAATCGTTCATTCGTTGTACCTCTGGTTCTGGAGGTCAAGGTGTAACGTTACCTCGGGCTTCGACCTCGCCCATGGTATCTCCCGTCGGTGTTGGGCTTGTATCATCGGATAATATCATGGGTAATTTTTTTAAGGGCGGGAGGAGAGTATCAGCTCAACGTAGTACAGTTTCGGGGGAATATTGTAATATTTAATTAAAAGAGCGAGGGTTTAATGGAGTAAAAAAAATAATTCGTTAATTGGGTGATTAATTGGATGAATTATGATTTGTTTTTTGTTAATAAACTACTGTTACGACGAAGTAAATCAAGTGGGAAATTGCTCTTGCATTGCATATGGTACAGTTATTTTTGCTAATAAATTAGCAATATGCTTCCGAATGGTTATTTTGCACATCATTTCCTTCTATCGTGTATAATTCAGTGTTTACTTTATTTTATTAAATTGAACAAGATTTCTTTTCAACTAATGTTGTCAGAGTTTCAACTTAGTTGAATGTTATCGTCATCATTATTCTTATTATCCCTTTCTTTCGAAAAAATTTGAAAAAATTCGAAAATTACAAAAACTGATCGATGAACTGAATTTTAATTAACCCTAGTCTGGTCACCTGACGGGAAAATGCGACTTTAGGCACCTTCGCGGGAGTGTGCCGCCGTGTTATTTAGGCTCCGGCGTTGCCGAATCCACTCTACACTTCCCGGGCGCGTTTAGCGAGTTCCCAGCAACGTCGCGCAACAGGCAATTTCATTTAACACGGGAAAAAATTGTTCACCTGTTGGAAATAATTTTTTTCTCCCAGAATTAAGGATACTTTTTTTTTTTAAATACTAGAATTTTCCAGATACTTCAATTGACGAATTCAATTTTTCTCAAATTTTTCCGGTCAACCAGTCGATGGCAAGGTGAATAAAACGACGTGTTGCGGCAATTCCCTCGCATGGAGACCAGTCTAGGGTTAATGGCGAGCCGAGCCGAAGGCGAGGGCTGCAATCATATGAGCTAGAAAAGTTTTTTTTGGTCGTATGACGAACAGTATTTTTTGTTATGACGGCCGTAGGCAGAGATTCACGGACGCGGAGCGGAGCGTCCGTGAAGCCCTGCCTCACGGCCGGAATGACAAAAAGATTCAATTCCATCGAGTCATTAGCGAACGATTGAAGAAAATTTTTTTTACATACGTACGGACGAGGTCTAAAAATTGCATTTTCGTACTTTTTGGGTCATATTGGGTCGATGCACCAAAAAAAATTCAAACCTTAAATTTGAAAGATTGGAAAGCTTTTATTCGCAAGCAAAAATATGTATCACATTTGATAAAAATCCGATTGTGATGAGTTTTACGAGATCAGTGATGAGTTTTACGAGATCAGTGATGAGTTTTACGAGAGAATTTCAGAATATCAGTTTTAACATTTGAAGTTCAACAAAATGAATAAAAATGGCCAATCTATGAGCCAGTGAACGCATCCATTTTTTCTCCCCTAATTATCATCGCAATAACCCGGGCTCCATGCACCACCTAATGCGAGTTAATTAGTCCGGTGAGTTAATCATACTACCATTACAACTTGTCCGACATTCCACCGAATGTCCGCCCAATTATCCCGACTACCAGCCCGCTCTCCTTCTCTATTTCATCCGTCTTCATTCTCCATTCGCCTCTTCCTCTTAATTAAATTGCATCGGTTTGTATGCTTTTTTTCGATTATCAACAAACGGATACATTTGCTCTACAACTGTTGCACTGTGAAGCGGAAGTTCGGACGGAGATACTTCTGTTTGTGCTTCTTCTAGTCGCATCCCTCTACGTCGACTTATTAGCGTCACGTGCAATTAAGTACGTGGGAGCCGGAGGAATTAAACTTCGTCGATGGATTCTTTTTGTTCATTTTCTTTAGTTGTATTTTTTTGCTGTGATTTGACATTCATTGGAATGTTTTGTGTCAATAGTAATGGATGTGATTGAAGTCACATGTATTCACCGCAAAAATGGAAATGTTCTATTTTTTTTAACCTAATGTAATCTCCAGTCGAGAAATTTTCTACTTTCATGAATTGATGAAAAATTCGTAGCTAGGAGATGATTACATTGAGGAATTAATTGAATGTTGTTTTCTCGAATGAAGCCGATGTTTAAATTGAGCTTTCCGTACATCACATTGAACGAAATTTGTGATATCCAAGTTTGTGTTGAATTGCCGTAATCTGTGATTCTGTTATTGTAAACTAATGCGATTTTTATTAGTCAAGAAATATAAACTTCTTTCACCTCAACGACATCTTACTACAATCTCAAAGCTTTCTCCGCGTAACAATATTCATCCTGATTCGACATACGAAATGCTCACTTCAATTATAATTTACTTGGAGCAACGTATGATCATGTTGATTGAGATAACAACGTATTTAGTCATGAGAATAATTTTGATTTTTGAGTAAACCAACGAATTTCTGGAGTTGGCAAACTTTTGGCTAGATAGAAATCGAATACTCTCATTATTGCGACAAATAAAAGGAACTTCAATTCCAGAGAAGTTCGATTTCTCACAATCAAATGTATCTCAAGAAGAGATAACTGGTATTCACTGTGAAATCATATTTATTTGAAAATTAACAACTAAATGATAGTCCGTTCAAATGGAATTCTCTTGATAGAACTAATTTTTTCTGTTAATGTAGTGCTGCTCTAGAATTTTAAAAATGCTGAATTGTATTTCCAGATTCAACAAGCGCTCACCAACCTTTTCTTCTTTAAATTCTGTTTAAAACCAAAGAAATTCCTTTCCTCCCGGGATTCTCTGGATCATTTGAATGACGATAATAGCCATTCGACACGGAAAGAATACAATACATAATGAGAAGTGATAAACAGTCATAGATTTGCATGAAGCAAACAACTCCCCGAGTCCATCTACTTTGAATCCCTAATAAAACCTCTAGTTTTCCGGATTCCATAAATCCGAACACGCTACGATGTCATGAATCAATCGTTTATAACTCAGAAGTGAGCGGAAGTGACATCAGTTGTTTGTCAGGTTTCTTGAGCAGAAGTTCTCCGAGAGTCTTTACCGTGATGATCCCTGCGCCGAGAGTGCTACTGATGTTGGCGGTCTGTCTGGCCATGGCCAATGCTCTGAGTGCGTGTTGACCATTAATATTAGATCACCCAAACCTCAAAAGTGCCAACAGGACAAATAATTCCCAGACAGGCAATAATATTAATACTTAATTCGTTCTCAATGAATTATGAATTGCCTCAATAAATCTATGAGTTACGAGGAACTTATATATATAATTTTTTTATATACCTGTTTTTTTAATACAAATAACTATGAATAATTATGCGATGATGAATAAAAACATGGTTAAACAAAAAAAAGTACGTGTTGACCATGAAACAAAAATCGCACAGTTGAGACTCAGTTTTGAATGAATAAATAATGAATACTCGAGCGGGAATTGCAGAGAAATATACTTTTATTTTATAGGTTTTTGTATATATCATGCCGATTGTGAGCAAGAGTGTCAAGGGCAGTATGCACCTGTCTGCTCGTTCTTCATCTGCTCATGTTCACCTCTGACCAATCTTGGGGAACCTCAGGTACTTTGGAAATTATTTTCGCCGAGTTTTCGTTCTTCAGGTTTTGATTTTGATTTTTCAGAATCTTACGATTGTTTAAGACGGCTGGTTAGGAGCTACTTCAACACTGAACATTTACAAAAATTTTTACAGGTGGTAATTGTAATTGTTTCTGACATTTTAATGAAGAGAGTAATTGCACTTATTTGAAATAAAATTCTGAATCATCGACATTTGACGATTTGAGTTGGTTCAAATTATTTTCCTGAATTTTTATACTTGTTAATTGACCATTTTGTATTTTATTGGGGTATTTCAACACTTTTGTGACCGAAGAACGTAACGTGTAGGGAAACATTTCATCGGAAAACCTAGGAAATTCGATTTTTTTATTAAAATTTTTCGAAGTATTCTAAGAAATTTCTCCAGTTTTTTAAAATTTTTTCGTAAATAAAAAGAGAAGAAAAATACAGTGGAAAAAAAAGCAAAATTCATGTTGAAAGATGAAATTCTACTGATTTTTTTAATGAACTATTTTCTATTGAAAATTTTCTATGAAAAAAACGCACAGTAAAGCAGCGAAATTCTTCAATAGATTACATAATATACATATTATATAATTTATTAGATTCAATAGATTAGGCCAAAGCCTAATAGAATTTTCAATCGAAGTGCTATAGAACTAGAACCAATTCGGTTCTATCGAATCCGCTGGATTTTTGCATCAACTGAAGAGAGAAATTCTAACGAAATGGTTTCCTAGAAAGAATTAAATACTCTATTCCTAACTCAAAAAATTTCAATGTAGCAGATTCGAACAAATTGCCCATAAAGTTGGAAACAGTACAATAGAATAATAAACGAGCAGATATAATCACCCATAGACTTGCATGAAGCGTGAAAATTCATGCCCCAGCTATTTTCAATTTCTAATAAATACAAACCCCAGTTTTCCCGAGTACATGAAGATAAGCATTCAAAGATTCCCGTTTAAAACCGCTGAAGAATGGGGCAAATTGTCAGTGCTCCGTCAGATTCAAACCTGATAAGTTTGTTGAGAGAATCTTCATCATGTTTGCCGTGCAGAAGGTGCTTCTGTTGTTGACGCTTTGTGTTGCTGTGGCCACTTCTTTCAGTACGTATTCATATATTATTGATTTAGAGAACACCACGTGCACATAACTAACACAAAATGTATTTTACAATTTTTTTCATGAATAATGATGAGTGAAACTTTAACCCGTTGCTTCGCGTACGTGGCAGATCGCCTCGGCGTGGGTCGAGTGGGGGTAACGGCGGGGGATTCACCCGCTAGAGAGTGGGGACGCGCTACGCGAAGCAATGGGTTGATTCCTGCAGTGTTAGAAATTTTTTAAAATTTCATGGAAGATATTATAGTAAATCTCATGAGAGTGACATTGAATCGGATTTAGGGAGAAAATGGTTATGAAATTTCAAGTTTTAAGTAGAATTCACGGAATTTCATGAATTTTCAGTGCAGTATGAATATTCAGAAACAAAATGACACGAATTTTCAAATTTTCCCTGCATTTTCATGATTTTCCTGAATTTACACAGAATAATTGACACGAAAAATCAAGTATTTTATTCATTTCCACTTCTTTTAGTACGTATTTATGGATTATTGATTTAGAGAACAACATGTGCATATAACTAACACAAAACGTATTTTACAATTTTTTTCATAAATAATGCCGAGTGAAACTTTAACCCGTTGCTTCGCGTACGTGGCAGATCGCCTCGGCGTGGGTCGAGTGGGGGTAACGGCGGGGGATTCGTCCGCTAGAGAGTGGGGACGCGCTACGCGAAGCAATGGGTTGATTCCTGCACTGTTAGAAATTTTTTTAAATTTCATGGAAGATATTATAGTAAATCTCATGAGAGTGACATTGAATCGAATTTAGGGAGCAAATGGGTATGAAATTTCAAGTTTTAAGTAGAATTCACGGAATTTCATGAGATTTCGGTGGCAGTGAGATGGAAATTTCACAACATGGTTGAATTTTCAGTGGAACATGAATATCCAGAAACAAAATGACACGAATTTTCATTTTTTCCCTGAATTTTCCTGATTTTTCTGAATTTACACAGAATAATTGAACTGAAAAATCAAACATGAACTTGAACACGATAAAAATTTCCGGAATTTCGTGCGGAAAATTCAGACAAAAAATTTTAACAGAGTGCACATTCAATGCGGGTGAATAAATATTCTGGCGTTAAATTGCTCTAGGTCTCTGTTGGATGAGTGAAAACTGTTCTAACGAGTGTCAAGCGTCATCTACCCCTGTGTGTGATTTCTTCATCTGTAGATGCAAATCTGCCACCAATCCCGACGATTCCCCGGTACCAGCTTTGTTGAAACTATCGTTCTCCCAACAATTTTTCATGTACTGACGCAAAGCTATAAATTTTTTTTCAGAATACTACTGACGCGTGACGTGCAGACGGCGGAGTTATGACGAGGTGCATCGATCCTGGACGCATAATTATATTGTAAAAATTGAATAAATATAGAGGTTCAAAAAATTTGGAATTCATCAAATTTCCTTATGTAAAAAAGGCATCTTAACGAAAATTGTGTATTTAAGAAAAAACTTTACGTCCACACTGATAGAACGGATTAGTTATTGTTGACGAATGGATTTTGGTTGGAGGTTAGGGTCTATTCGGTCCCACCAAATGTTCATTTGTTAATAGTTAACGAATGTATATTTGAGGAGCCTTGTTTGACTTGACTTTCGCCATTCAAGTGAACCATTCGTTAACTATTAACGAATATTCATTTGGTCATATTCAACTCTACCATTCGTTAATAGTTAACGAATCTCGTTTGGAATAAATGAATCATTCTATCAGTGCACTATTAGAAACCAAAACAAGACTAAGTATCACCTTGTTAGACTTGCAAAGGACTTCATAATGTCTAATGCGTTACAAGTCGCAGTAAAGCACATCATTTGCGACATAAGAACGCTCATTCTGGCATGTTTATCAACCGAGGAAAACCATTTCCCCGTCACTAAAGATAAACATTCTAAAATGTAATAAAATCACCGGTTATCGTCGCCGAAGGAAAGATAGACTCAGTCGTCTGACAGATTTGGTTACGAAGCGTTCTTCAAGAATTTTGTCATGATCGGTTTACAAAAGCTGCTTTTGATATTGGTGGGGTCCGTGGCGATGGCAAATGCGATAAGTGCGTGCTTTTACACATTATTAATCAGGGTTTACGCATAAAATTAATAGAGATACGTCAATTTGAACAGCTTTCTGCATCGCCCCTACCGATTGCATAGTGAATTGTCCAGGACGTTTTGTACCAATCTGCATGCTTGGACTCTGCACATGCGCGCCCTTACCTGATCTGCCTTCGTCAACGTGTGAGGTGACTTTTATGGACAAATTTTTGTACTCATCATCAATCATTATTAATTATAAATTCTCAAAATTGTCATCATGATTTTTTTTCTGTAGAATACCACCAGTGCTCAGTAGTCATCAGCATTAAACACTGGATTATTTTGTAAAATTGTAAGGGATTTAAATAAAATTCTGAATCACGTGAACCTATTAGGTGTACAAATAAATTTTAGGACACTTTGCAAAAAATTTAAAATTCATTTTCGAAAAAAAGTAAACTACATTTATTCATCAAAATAATCTCCATCATTTTGAATGACCTTCAGCCATCTGTTAGGTAATTCACGGATGCCTTCCGCAAAGAAAGTTTCATCTTGCGAGGCGAGGAAATTATCGACCTATTTTTGCACTTCAAATGTTTTGAATCGCATATCAGTCAATTCGTTTTGCATCTTCCGAAACAAGTGAAAATCAGTTGGAGCTAATTCTGGTGAATACGCCGGGTGTGGCACAACTTCCCATCCAAGAGCCATTAACGTATCTTTGACCGGTTTACCCACATGAGGCCTGGCGTTGTCATGGAGCAATTTTACTGGACGTTTTCCTTTGTCAGTAAATGGACGTTTTTGTTCAATTTCTTGGTTCAATCTTATTAATTGTTGACGATAGCGATCGGCAGTAACTGTCTCGCCAAGTAAAATTATTTGAAGAGAACCATTTTCCTTGAATACTTCCCAACTTGATTAAATCTCAATTATTCTAATAATTCAAGTCAATTCATGTCAAGAAATGAAAATCTTCGTCAACGTGTGAGGTGATATTTAAGGACAATTTTTTGTACTCATCATTGGTCATCATTAATTATAAATTCTCAAAATTGTCATCATGATTTTTTCTCTGTAGAATCCCACCAGTGCTCAGTAGCCACCACAATCAGCGTTCAACACTGCATTATTTTTAAAAATTGTAATGAATTGAAATAAGATTCTGAATCACGTAGACCTAGGAGAATTAGTTGATAAGAATCAGTCCCCTTAAACAGTTCGAGACTTCATCACTTCCTCACTGTTTTCATAATTTCTGGCGAATTGTTGCAGTAAAAAATGACATTCTAAAATTTGTCAAGAAATAACAGGGGTCTTGTTACCTTGTTTTCCATTGAAACCTTCCCTATCTCTCTGATAACGATATCCCACGTTTTCAACAACAATTTTCCCTCGCGAGGTCAGCGGTAATTGCAGACGTGTGACAGCGCTCATCGATAGACTCCAAGAAAATGAACTTAGTAAGTTGCCAACAGTCCAAGTAGAACACTTAGTTCGTCGTCATGATTGCGCAGAAGCTGTTTTTCCTGCTCCTCATTGTCGTCATGTGGGTTTCGGCAAACGGTACGTTCATTTATCAATTTCATTCCCAAAAATAGAGATGTTTAAGGGAGATATTTCTCGTAAATGTCCCTCTAATTTTACTAATACTTAATACTAACTGGTAGTGGATTGCATAATGATTTGTATTTTTTTTTGAACAGCCACATGCAGTGAGGATGCTGAATGTGATAAATACTGTCCGATAAAAGATACTGTCGGTTCCTGCCAAGAGTCCCAATGTCACTGTGAGCCAGGCCAAGAGCAGCAAGAATAACGCCTCCGATTTGTCCTGTTATCCAATTTTTCTGCTACCGATTGTCGGACTTCGTACAAAAATCAACTACTTTCTTCGCAAGATGCTGCTCGATTGGCGTTTGATGTAATCAAAAACCCCGAACTCCTTTAATAATTCTTCTACTAGACGATTGACATGACTTCATCGGTTATTGTTATAAATTATTAGAGGATGAATTAAAAAATTATGAAATACACAATGGTCTGAACCACTTTATTGAATGAACATCGCTTCCTCCAATTTTAGAAATGAAGTATTTGTGATGAGTGAAATGATTTCGGTCATGAGACCGACGAAAATGTGACGATCTCTTGGCACACGACAAAATTGTGATCAATTCATCATCTGGCCGTCGTATTACATCAAACAAGTGGCATCACAAGTGGAAATTCGGAGATGACCTCGTGGTTTCGACATTCTACCGACCCTTGGCCAACATTGGCCCGCCCCTTGGCGGACATTGACCCGACCTTTGTCCGACATTGGCCCGACCCTAGGCCGATATTGACCCGACCCTTGTCCGACATTGACCCAACCCTTGTCCGACACTGGCCCGGCCCTAGGCCGACATTGATCCGACCCTTGTCCGACCCTGGCTGAGCGTCGCCTGAATTTTCAGCGACTCCTGAATCTCAACCATCGCCTGAATATTTTGGCCTTATTTTTTTTATTATATAGAAAGACTCAATTGAGATATATTTTTTTTCGTGATAAACATATGACAAAATTGTGTGACAAACAATTTATGACTGCCATTTTACATCTAGCTAGTTGGATTCCAAGACAGAACGTACGACCAAAATTCTGACATGAGATTTCTTGAAGCCATCATCATCACAAATGCTCTCTATATTCTTTCGGGAGCGTCTCCTCAAACTTGACAGAATATTCATACAGCGCAATCCATCACGCAGTCAACTACTCTGAATTCCTCATGTAAATAATAGTTTTCCTCAATGATAATCACGAGCGTTGCGGAGCGTTTGTAATGCAAAGTTTACGGGCTGATGCAGTCGTTCGCAAGATTTGATTCGGAACGGTTCATGATTTTAGAGCTATGATAGTCCTAAAGTTGCTTCTTCTGCTGGTGGGTTGTCTCACGATGACCGATGCGATCAGTACGTATATTCATGGAACCTATTTTCGTAGTTGGATGTTTAATTTTTGTGGTTGGAGTAGCTCTCTGCTTGAGCCATACGGATTGCATGCGAGATTGCATCGGCCCATTTGTTCCTGTCTGCATGCTGGGGCTCTGCACCTGTTCCCCAATTCTGTCCTGAGTAGGTGAGAAATTCTACTGTTGTCAAAACAAATTCGGTTGATATTTTTTATTCTCAGGCATGCTTTTGCTTCGAAGTGACGGCCTCTTTCAATTTCCAACCATGAATTCTTCATGAATTCTTAACTTTCCCAACGAAGTAAACAATCGTTTTCTGCTATCACCGGACTAATTATTTATTTACGATGACGCACGAGGCTGACCCTGGATTTCCTTGATAACATTCTCCACCTGTGGATATTCACTAGTTTGAAACTGGAAAAAAGGATAACATTGTAGAAATTTGGAATAAACATCTTCATTAACCAGTTTTTTATTTCTCATTCTTTGTGTCAGAACATTTGTTTTGAAATCAATATTCAGGGAAAGGTAAACAAATTCCAAGATTGGAGCAATGTTGAATTCAGTGTATTGGATATGGGGTATTTAAAATAATTAAATTTGACAAATAAGTGAAAAACTTTCTTTATTTTATACGCTCGGAAGACACATCCTCTCAGTACCGTTTCCTCAGAGGAACTAACTATATTGACAAAAGGGATCCAACACCCTGGGTCTGATGACTCCCATTCAAAAGGTCCCACTCATGCATTGTGTTTAGACTAGAAACTAGAAAAACAGAGCATAAACATCATGCCTCAAACTTCTCGGAATTTTCACACTTAAAAATGTTCTTCGATGTAAAGTGGAAACACAAGAGATGAAAGAAATATAAAACGTACAAAGACGCATTCAAACCAACTAAAGATTAATTTTTGTCAAGTATTTTTCAACAAAAAATCCAACACAGTGAATCATTGAATTCAATTTAAAATACATCATCATAGAAATTCCACTCAGAAGCAACTTGCCAATTAATTAGCAAAAATATATTGACTATGTTGTGACGAAAGCAATTTCCCACTTGTTTCATTTCTTCTCATATCACAAGCCAACTGGTCTAGATGTGATTGAACAGTCACAAATGTTTTGGTCACAATATTCTGTTACATTTATTGATAATTCACAGTATTAACTTGTCATTTTGATTTGATAACATTCATTGTACGGATTCGACCATCAACTCAGCGTCTTGTCATCACGAAACCACGGGGTCATCTCCGAATTTCAAGTTGTGGTGCCACTTGTTTGGTGAAATACGACGGCCAGATGATGAATTGGTCACAATTTTGTCGTGTGCCAAGAGATCATCACATTTTCGTCGGTCCCATAACCGAAATCATTTCACTCATCACAAATACTTCATTTCGAAAATTGGAGGGAGCGATGTTCATTCAATAAACTGGTTCAGACCATTGTGTATTTCATCATTTTTTAATTCATCCTCTAAAATTATTACAATAACCAATGAAGTCATGTCAATCGTCTAATAGAAGAATTATTAAAGGAGTTCGGGGTTTTTGATTACATCAAACGCCAATCGTTCAGCATCTTGCGAAGAAAGCAGTTGATTTTTGTACGAAGTCCGACAATCGGTAGCAGAAAAATTGGATATCAGGACAAATCGGAGGCGTTATCCAATGATATTTGGATTCTTGGCACGAACTGACAGAATTTGTGATCGCTCAGCATTTATCACATTCAGAATCCTCAAAAAAAAATACGAGTCATTGTGCAATGAAATCACGTCAATTATGCAATTATAAAAATGGACCATCAGGGCGACGCAAAATGAATGAATCGAAGAATGAATTCGCAGGAATGATTTTAATTGCATCAATCAATAATCATAATTGCAATCCTAATTAAAGTTTAATCCCCCCATCGACTCATCAATTTAAAATGGCCCTCGCAATGTTTCATGACCAATGTTCCCCTAAAATTATCAAAGTACATCAACCCTGAATCCGCTCCCAAAGTCCCCGCGAAAACAAATTAAATAACGACCAACTGCGGAATTGTAGAGTAAAAAAATGCCCAGAGTGAACTTGGGTATACGATAATTAACGCCCAGGCCCGGCGCGTCGCTGCCCGAAGAATTATAACGGTAACCACCACCGAGATAAGGATAAGGAGGTGTCGGCCGATCCTCGTTAGCCTTCGGGGCACTTTTGCCTTCCTTCTCGCTCATGGAGTCATATACCTGAGTATCATAAGCCTTACGTCTTCAGATGGCACGATCTCTTAATTTCATTTCACGAAAAAAAATAATAACTGACACATCCGCTATAACGATAGCCTTCAATTAGTTTTATTTCGAGAATTTGTAGTTGAAATTTGCGTTAGTCGAGAGCCAGGGAATTTTCCGGTGGGACAGTCTGTATTACAACTCTTCTGAACTAATTAATTATTGACGTAATTGAATTTTTTTTCAACTTTATTTCATTTTAAATTTCATTTTTTTATTTACACGCTTCTTCAATTAATTGTTGTCACTAGTCCCAATTTATCAGCTGTTAAATTTTCATATTGCAGTAAATGACTTGATCATGTTCTAATTCCTATGCTCACTGAATAAGATTTTAATAATAATTACAATTTAATTCCTTGTAGAACACACTTTAGAGTGTGAATTTCTAGAATTCAATGTTTGTTGATACTCTGGTAAAAGTGCGTGCCCACACTGTTATCAATTTTTAGTTATTTCACACGGTAATTCAATTAATCTGTTGTTCATCTCATCAATATAATTGCGTGCTTAGAATATTGTCATCTCGTGTTATCAGCACTAAATTAAAAATTAAAACTTCATTTGGAATATTGAGTCACAGCTTCTTTTTATTCATATCAGAAATTTTGTATTTGGATATTAATATTATTTGTTCAAAGTGAAAAAATCGATCATCATTTTCACTATATTGCATTCAGATTCTCCTATCCTTAACATAAAAAATGTAAGACAATCTCATAGTTCTAGCTATTAATTCTAATCAACTTTGTTCGAAGAAAACCTTAGTAAACGCAATATTAAGAAAGTTGAATTATTCTATTTCACAATTATGATTCGATTATTCATATTTCATAGAATGGTATTCAATTCTCTTTTATTTGTTAGGCAGGTTGCATGAAAATTCGACGATTGTACTCACGAAAACGCCTGAATTTCTCCATTCGTTCGAGATATTGCCCATGCTTGTTTTTAGAAAGGAATATCATAAAGTTCACGTCACAAAATAGAATGATTGTTAAAGAAAAGAGAAAAGCATATAATTAATTGATTAATAATTAATTAATTGTTAATTAATTATTAATTAATTAATTATTAATTAATTATTTAGTTAATTAATTGTAAATAATTAATTTTTTAATTATGTGCTTTTCTATTTTTTTTGTTTGAAATTTGGAGGAATTCCTCCAAACTTCAAATACATCCAACCTTAATTAATCCAAATGTACCATCACCCCGCCTCTCCCCCCAGGAAACGTCCCCGCCACCCCCAAGCCCCCAGCTTCCCAAATCTCAATTAAAAACCTCCCAAAAAGGCGCATAATTAAGCAAAAACCCCCTCGAAACAAATGAGTTTAACGAACTCCCGTCGCGCCTCTCCCAATTCAGATCTCCCCGATAACAAATGAACAGTTAAACCCCCCAAATTTATTAGCAATAAACCCAAATAAATGCCTAATAAATTCAGATCAAAGACAATTTGCGTCAGAACACGTCAAAAAAAAAAGGACGAAACGTATACCCTGACCCGAGAGATCATTTAACACTGAACCCGGAGAGACGCTGATACCGATCTCCAGTAACCCGATAGTCATTCCCATGGAAAATACGTCGAGGAGGTGTCCAAGGATACACAAAAATGAAGGTGAGGAGCGCTGAATAGAGACCGGTCACGTTCCCTAATTGCCACATCCCCGAATATATTCCCGGGGTGGTGAGACCACACGAGAAAAAAAAGAAATCATTCGAATGGCTGTGCATTATACGGGTGTCGGGCCGATATTTCCGGGGGCCGTCTTCCCTCCTGACCCGAAGAGACGAGCGCAGCAGAACAGAGTGGAACACAACGTCCTCAGGAACGTAAAATGTCGGTCACGCTCAGCAATGAGCCGTCGGGGGATTTTTCTGTTTCTAATTTCACATTTTTTTTTTCGAGGGCAACTGAAAGGCGCCGATCGACTATTACGCTTCGGTCGTTATTGGAAGTTAATGACTGCACACCTCCGCTTGAATATACCGATTATCGGGTTTCCTATTGCCCACTATTCTAGAAGCCCTGGGCTTGTGCGCGAGTAAGTGACCGCGCGCACATGAATAACCATACAATGAGGCGATAAGTGCTTGGATTGTTACAAGATTGCCTAGTTGCGGGTTTGTTTGGATGGGATGAATGGGGAATTGTACAAATTGATTATTAGGCGATTGTGGTTATCGATTTCGTTGGGGGATATTGAATTATCGGGTTTAAATTAAGAAACACTTTTTATCTATGTGAATACTTTAATTGAAAAATCTCTAAGACTCTACGCAGTCAGGAGGTAGTTGATACTATGAATATCTACGAGAGACTACAGATGGTTGCTGAAGCAAACGCCTGGTCTTTCCCTCTTGACCCCGCCTGGTCGCCAGGTGTACTTGTGGGGAAAACCCACATTTGGGAAAAACCCATCAGTAAAACTCCCGAGAGGACTTTTCCCCATTTTACACTCTCAGGGAAGACCCCATAGCAATATAACGCAATAAATCTTTCCTTAACATAACAGAACTTGGAAGAGTGAATTTTGATCTCGGGAAAACCCCGAAATCCAACAGGGGAATTTAATTCAGTAGCGAAGTGGTAAACCGGTATAAGTCGATTTTGACTATTGACCAGTTTTCAATAAATATCTCGGAATCTAAGGGAAATAGCGAAATTGTTGTAATTTTCTTTTTTCTAGCTCTCAATTTGTCCTACAAAAAAGGTTATGACAAAAATTTTGCTATTTCCCTTGGATTTTGAGATATTCATTGAAGAAAACTGGGCAATAGTCAAAATCGACTTAAACCGGTTTACCACTTCACTACTGAATTCTAACAATTTTTTTTTATTTCGTCCATTCAGAAGCAAACTACTGATTTTTTAAACGAAATGGAAGAGTCGTCTGCGCCCTTCAGCGAAAATTCTGTGCCATTCATCGTCACCCCTTCCGCACACAATGCAGTTCACCCGCATCTTGATAAACCCTGTTGTTTGCAATTTTTTGAGTATCTACGCCGCATCTGTAGCGCCGGAGTGTCCACCTGTTCGCTCGAGACCCCGTGAATGATCACCAGGGGGTTAACTCACCTCTCAATGGGGTGCGTAGGTTTTTTTCTCCTCCTCTCTATTAAGCGTCATCCCGCGTGCATCTGTCACAATCACTCGACCATTGTCACTGATCC